CACAAGAACATCACTCAATCTAACAATGCCCAGGATTTAACCTGATGATTTTTAGGTGGTAACAAATCACATGCATTTTTCCCTTACTCCAGTGGATGGCAAGTGGGCATCTTGGGCCAGTTGGAGTGCCTGTACGGTGTCCTGTGGAGGAGGTGCCAGACAGAGAACAAGGGACTGCTCTGACCCTGCCCCCCAGCATGGAGGAAGGAAATGTGAAGGGAGTGACGTCCAGAGTGACTTTTGCAATAGTGACCCTTGTCCAAGTGAGTGTTGGAAATAGTGAGTCAACATTATCCATATAGTATTCTGTTACTTCATTCTTCACCCTTTGCCTTAGGATGTCAAGATGTTGATGGTTGCTGTCGTGTCTGTGTAATACCATGGATGTCACTGATTCGTATGGGCAGGGGCTGTGTCCTAGTTCACTTACTCTAGTATAGGACCAACAGTAGAGTACAAGGATGAGAGCACGCTTACATTCTAACTCTTAATGATGCTTATGAATCTTTTATGGAGGCAAGGAGGCAGCTCTCTGCCTTAATTCAGTCGTCAAGCTAGATTTCTGGACCCTAGCAGCAACTTAATGTCTGGAAATGTGAGTTACACTGTATCCTGAATGTTACCACCTTGGTTCATCAAAAGCAGAGAGACCTTGTCTCATTCATACTCTCCAGCTCCTGGAATATTTTAAGACTCAATAAATGTGTGTTAAATGGAATCACACAATTACTGGAACATACACCCAGTTTCTAGTCAAAATAGCAGCCAAGCCGTCTTCCTTTGGAATTTGCCTATTTATAGATTTGTGTGTGTCCTTTCAGTTCCTGGGGAGAGGCTTTTCCATATTTTTTTGGATGAATGTCATTGTTAGCACTTCTCATTTTTGGAGCTGTTTTCATGTCAAATGATTCTGTGTTGTAGCCCATGGACACTGGAGTCCTTGGAGTGGCTGGGGAACATGCAGCCGGACATGTAATGGAGGGCAGATGCGGCGGTACCGCACGTGTGACAACCCTCGTCCCTCCAACGGAGGAAGAGCTTGTGGGGGGCCAGACTCCCAGATCCAGAGGTGCAGCACTGACATGTGTCCTGGTGAGCCTCGATTCCTGGCAGCAGAATGAGTAAAACATTGCATTTAGTGCTCATCGTAGCATCCCCATCGTTTCAGACCTAAAGTGACAATTGTACGGGCTGTGGCACCCTAAGTGTGTACTTTAAAACTAATTTGTTAGTATTGATCGAATATTCCACTCTTGTTCACAGTGGATGGAAGTTGGGGAAACTGGCACAGTTGGAGCCAGTGTTCTGCCTCCTGTGGAAGAGGTGAAAAGACGCGGAAGCGGCTGTGCGACGATCCAGTGCCAGCTAAAGGTGGTCGTCCCTGCCCAGGAGACGCTACTCAGGTATCGAGATGCAACATACAGACATGTCCAGGTAAGCAACTAAATGGGACTTTGGAAGGACCATTGCTGGCACATTTAGAGCCTTTGTGCAAATTATTAAAAACTCCCACAAATTACAAAACGGTGCCAACTCTAGGAGGAGGAATTAGAAAAATTTGCTTTCTCGCCCCTAGTTGGTGCAGCTCTATATCAATATTCAGGGCTGGGTTTTAGCCTCTGCTTGCCCCCGTCCAAACTTCCTGGTGAAAGACTACAATTGTCACAGCTATAAATGGTGGTCCTAGGCTTGACAGGTAAAAGGGTGAGGCAGAGTGGAAAGTATAATAAAGGTCAGTTCAGTTCGGGGAGAAAGAATAGGGGGACCTCAAGTACCATCACCCAAGTCATGCATGACAGCTGGATATCATAAGGGATGTAAACATTCAGAATTCTAGAACTCACGGACCTTAGGAGGAGTTTTCTGGGGTTCCAGGAAATGGTGGATAATAATAAATACCTTGCCTCAGAGGACAGACTTCTAAAGGCTCTAGGAAGACCAACAATAACTGTTTCATACTGCTAAAGTGTCAAGATGCCATTAGACTTTTCAAAGCTTTAAGGTTGCTTTAGAAATAAAAAGCCCCTAAAAACTAATAAGACCCATTTGACATCCCTCAAAGATATTGGGATTGGGTTCCAGACCATCTCAATAAAGCAAATACTGCAATAGCAATAAAGCAAGTCACACAAATTTTTTGGTTTCCCAGTGCATATAAAAGTTGTGTATACCCTATACTGTAGTTAGTTAAGTGTGCAATATCATTATGTCTAAAAAACAATGTACATACCTTAATTTTAAAATACTTTATTGCAAAAAATTCCAACAATCATCTGAGCCTTTAGTGTGTCCTAATCGTGCTGGTGTAGTCTTGCCTCGATGTTGATGTCTGCTGACTGATCAGGTGGTGGTTGCTGAACGTTGAGGCGGTTGTGGCAGTTTCTTAGAATAAGACAACAATGACGTTTACAGCATCAAGGGACTCTTTCTTTCATGGAAGCTTTCTCTGTAGCATGCAGTGCTGTTTGATAGCCTTCACCCACTGTAGAACTTCTTTCAAATTGGAGTCAATCCTCTCAAACCCTGCAGGCTGCTCTACCAAGTTTATGGAATATTCTAAATCCTTTGTTGTCATTTCAGTAATGTTCACAGCCTCTTCACCTGGGGTAGATTCCATCTCGAGAAACCACTGTCTTTGCTCATGTTTAAAAAGCAACTTTTCATCCATTCAGATTATATCATGGGATTGCAGCGCTTCAGTCACATCTTCAGGCTCCACTTCCAATTCTGGTTCTCTTGCTGTCTCCACAACTTGTGCGGTTGCTTCCTCCACTGGAGTTGGACCCCTCAGAGTTATCCATGAGGGTTGGAATCATCTTCTTCCAAAACTCTTCTTAAAGTTGATATTTTGACCTCCTGCCATGAATCACAAAGCTCTTAATGACATCTAAGGGTGATGAATCCTTTCCAGAAGGTTTTCAATATACTTTCCCCAGATCCATCAGAGGAATTCCTATGTATGGCAGCTGTCCCTTATTTCTCAGTGTAGTTCTCAAATAATAAGACTTGAAAGTCAAAATTGCTCCTCGATCCCTGGGCTGCAGAATGGATGTTGTGTTAGCAGGCATGAAAACAACACTAATCTCCTTGTACTGCATATCTCCATTAGAGCTCTTGGGTGTCTAGGTGCATTGTCAATAAGAAGTAATGTTTTGAAAGGAATCTTTTCCCCTGAGCAGCAGATCTCGGCAGTATGTTTAAAATATTCAGTAAACCATGCTGTAAACATATGTGCTGTCATTCAAACTTTGTTGTTTCATTTATAGAGCGCAAAGTAGATTTAGCGTAATTCTTAAGGGTCCTAGAATTCTTGGAATGGTAAATGACCATTGGCCTCAACTTAATGCAGGGGCTAATGTAGCTGGTGACTGAATTAGCCCTTAATAAGAGAGTCAGTTTGTTTTTTGAAGCTTGGAAGCCAGGCATTGACTTCTCCTCTCTATCTATGACAGTCTTAGATGGCATCATCTTCTAAAATAAGGCTGTTTTGTCTACATTGAAAATCCATGGATTATGGTAGCCACCTTCATCAATTTCTTAGCTAGATATTCTGGATAACTTGCTGCAGCTTCTCCATCAGCAGTTGCTGCTTCACCTTGCGCTTTTGTGTTATGGAGATAGTTTCTTCCCTTAAACCTCATAAACCAACAACCTTTTTCCTGCTACAGCTTCCTCTCCTCTTTCAGCCTTCATAGAATTAAAGAGAGTTCGGGTCTTTCTCTGGATTGGGCTTTGGGTTTGGGCTTTGTGGCTGGTTTGATTTTCTGTCCAGACTGCTAAAATTTTCTCTGTATCAATAATAAGGCTATTTCACTTTCTTAGCGTTTGTGTGTTTACTGGAGTAGCACTTTTAATTTTCTTCAAGAACCCTTCTTTTGCAGTCACAACTTGGCTAAGTGGTGCAAGAAGCCTAGTTTGGGCCTATCTCAGCTTTCAACACATCTTCCTTACTAAGCTTAATCATTTCTAACTCGAATTCGCAGTGCCCCAAAACAATTACAATGTAACAACAAAGATCACTGATCACAGATCGCCGTAACAGATAAGTAATAATGAAAAAGTTTGAAATACTGCAAGATTAACCAAAATGTGACACAGAGACAAAGTGAGCGTATGCTGATGGAAAAGTGATGCCAGGAGACTTGCTCGTCAGAGGGTTGCCACAAATCTTCAATTTGTAGAAACTGCAGCATCTATGAAGTGCGATAAAGTGCAGTACAATAAAATGAGATATGCCTGTATATGAGGACAGTATCTGAACTACCTAGTCATTGCTTTAAAATATATTAAAAGATATCAGATAATGAATGTGTATAAATTTCACTATCAGCTTCTTCCCAATATGTTGCCCCTCTTGTCAAAGCATGAAATTAATTTTAAAACATTCATTAACCACCTATTCTGTACTAGTAACCAATAATTTTGTTTTCATAAAAAGAAGGGATGAAATTACTGTAAAGACATTTCTTTTTAATTTATAATTGTTTTTTTGTCATTCTGAAGGTTTTATTTTTTTTATTTTTTATTTTTTGTTATTTCAGCATATTACAGGGGTACAAATGGTTAAGTTACATGTATTGCCCTTGCCCCACCTGAGTCAGAGCTTCAAGCATGTCCATCTCCTAGATGGTATAATTGTTTTTCAACCAAGTTGTCTTGGTGTGAATTTTACAGCACTGCCAAAAGTATAATATCTTTCTCAAATTTTTCTCAAGTTCAGCATTTTTCAATGTGTATGCAACATGAAGAACTTGATAAACCTTTGATCTAAAGCGTAAGTCTAAACAGTGTCCCTCAGATAGTCCACATTTATTTTGGCAGTGACCTATGTAACAAGGCTTAGAGGCTGTTTTGCTGGTGAGCCCTCGTCTTTCTCTTTGTGCTCTCATGAAGGAAGCAATAAATAGAGGAACATCGGCTTTGATGCCAAGAAGATCCGTGTTCAAATCATTGCACCACATTCTAGATATGTAATGATGGGAAAATTGCTTGATTTCTATGAACTTTATTTTCCTAATCTGCAGACTATAGCTATTTAAAACCATCTCATAGAATTGTTAATAGAATTAAAAGAGTTAAGGCATATTAAGTGTTTACTGTTGTGCATGACATGATCACTATATTCTCATGTCATCATTTCATCACCACCAACAGACACATACTTTATTTTAGTTTTGGGACTGGACGCTGATTGTATTCTTTGGCTTGTAAATTAATATTATGATGAACATAGATTGGAAGGATCCTAGATTTATGGGGGATGATGGGTGTTACATGAAAGTCAAATGCTTTAAAAGCTTATTTATTTCACTTTTAAATTCCGATGTCATATGACCTTTTTGATATTTGAGAAAAGATTTGTAGCATCTCTGAATACTGGCCTTCTTTACTCTCATGTAATGTTGATGGAATTGCTTCCTTATCCAGGAATGTTTTTTCTTTTCCCAATAGGTGGGCCCCAGCGAGCCAGAGGAAGTGTTATTGGAAATATTAATGATGTTGAATTTGGAATTGCTTTTCTTAATGCCACAGTAACAGATAGCCCTAACTCTGATACTAGAGTAATACATGCCAAAATTACTAATGTACCGCGCACTCTTGGTAAGTGTCTGCTTATAAAAGTTGTTCATAAGCCTCCTTTTAAAATTTTACATATCATTCTTTATCTTATTACTTCCCCTTAAAGTTTCTAGAGGATGCTATTACTAAATCATCGATATAGTAGTACTTAGTTCTCTTCTAATGGTAAGCTCTTGAGGATACATTAGGTATGGGTATTTTTTTGTGTTCTTCAACATTATAGAATTCATCCTTGTGAAGAACATGCTATGAAAACAATAATAAAAGATTGTAAATATTTTGCTTTGTCACCTATTTATCCTTTTTTCTTTAGGTTCAGCAATGAAAAAGATAGTTTCTATTTTAAATCCCATTTATTGGACAACAGCAAAGGAAATAGGAGAAGCAGTCAATGGCTTTACCCTCACCAATGCAGTCTTCAAAAGAGAAACCCAAGTAGAATTTGCAACTGGTTAGTGTCAGCTGAACTTCATATTCTATTATTATTTTTAAAAATATGATTGCCATAAAGATTGGAGGTTAAGAAAAATATGTTATAGGTTCCCACAGAGAATAATTACAAAGTTTTTGATGCAATCTTATCATAAATGATATAAAAGCAATTTCATATTTTCCTGTAAACTTGCACTGACATGAGGTCATAAGAGACCATGTGTTCTCAGGCAGTACAGTAATTTTTATAGTCCAAAAGTTTTTTCTCCTCTTTTCTATATCTTTTCTCTTTAAATCTTTAGAGGGGGTTTTAAAGGCCAAAGAAGGAAAATAAGTCATTGTTATTAATTAAAGACTTTTGCCTTTAATTTGAGATTCAATTAGGGTAACTTACAGCAAATCTTTATAAAAAAGATGGAAATAAAAACAAGGAAATCTAAAAGTTTTTCACTTATCCATAGTCTTAAGTAGTATGTGCGAGCTATTCATGCTCCTTCACGGTACATACAGGTGTTTATAGAGCTCCATTTCAAGCCTCTTCAAAGTTGGTCACCCTCAGTGGCAGTTACATTTAAGAAAGAGGTGTTAAGGGAAGGCGTATCCTTAAACAGCATTAGTCACCAAGAAGACAAGTTGGGTCTTTTCATGTTATCCACTTACTGAGATGCCCTTTTGCTATTAATACTTTTCTTTGAAGCATCAGAAAGAACAAAGTCCTGTGGCCAGGCCTGTGGTCATTGCCAGTCTGCCTGATGAAGCTGTTCCTCCATTCTCAATGCATTTTTGTAGAGCTGCCTTGTTATTTCTTGTGAGTTGAAAGTATGGAATTCTTCACATAATCACATGCTACATTTTTGCCACACAAAAAGAAATTTTAGAAGAAACTTCATTCAGTAAGCCTAATTCTTTAATTGGGAGGTTAAGTGCTAATTTAATTCTCTTATCATCTATGCTCATTCAAGTTTAAACTAAAATAACATAGCTGAACTGGTATGTGAGGTAAATCTGCTCTGTGCTTACACAAATCATATACTCTTTGCTGTCGAAATGAATGCCTTGTAATTCCCAGGAGAGATTTTGCGGATGACTCATGTTGCCCGGGGCTTGGATTCTGATGGAGCTTTGTTGCTAGATATTGTTGTGAGTGGCCATGTGCTGCAGCTTCAGTCACCTGCTGAAGTCACTGTGAAGGTAAAATGCCCAGATAATTTCTCTGCACTGTTCATTAGAGTAATGATAAGATTGTGAGTCAAAGATCCATAGAAAGAACGCAGAGAACCTGTGTATTTTCCCTTGTTGATTTTGGAGAGTAAATGCCTAAATCTAGGTTATAAATGATTATCTGGTCTTTGTTTAAAAATCTTCAGAAACAAGATTCTCTTAGTGGTTTTATTACCCTGCTTTTCAGGACCAAGGTCACTGCTGTGTTGATTTAAGCCATTTGTTTAATTTCCTTCAGACAAAGAGAATACAAATTTTTGCATAAAAAGATTTTGTGTATCATCCACAAAAGTATGTCAGAAATTAAAGAATAACAATCACCTTTTCACATCTTCCTTTATCCTCTACTTACAACTTTGAGTCTCTTATTAAACTGAAATTTATGACAGTAAAATTATGAAACTAATTCAGTTACAATTAAAAGGTTCAAACTTCAAATTATTTCCTAAACATGACTGTACAATTACAATTTTATTTAGAATTAAGTATTTTTGGCCGCTAAGCCTTTTCCCCCTCTCTTTCTGCATCTCATATACTCTCAAGAAAAAAGAAAATGCTATGAGCCATGTTGATCTTCGAATCCATATTCTCCTTAGGATTACACAGAGGACTACATTCAAACAGGTCCTGGGCGGCTGTATGCCTACTCAACCCGTCTGTTCACCATTGATGGCATCAGCGTCCCGTACACTTGGAACCACACCATTTTTTATGATCATGCTCGGGGAAGAATGCCTTTCTTGGTAGAAACACTTCATGCGTCCTCTGTAGAATCTGACTATAACCAGTTAGAAGAGACATTGGGTTTTAAAATCCATGCTTCAATTTCCAAAGGTAATTTTATTAAAGGAAAGTCCTAATCTTTATGGCATCCAGTCCTTTCTAAAAGAGTAAAAATAAAAATTGCATTGATGCCATTCAAAAAATAAGGATATGAAGGCCTAGACCTAACATAATAATATAAGGTTTTTCATGTGTTGTCTGTTTTGTTGTAGGTAAATCCCTGTGGTAAAGCCAACCAAATTGGAGTTGTAGCACAATTAATTTACTAATATGCATCTTCATACTACATAGTAGAGTTATTTTTCTATTCCATATATACAGAAAGAGTTAAAACTATATAATGTCTGAAAGATTTTTCTTTGAGTAATAAAGTCCATTTGTTGTTGTTCTTAATCTTGTCATTTGTCAAAGAATTTTTTAAATTCCTGAAAGATAATGTAAAGACATATCTTAGCCTAAAATAGTAAAAAAAAAAAAAAAAGTTTTCATATTTTCAAAGTAGCTTTTAAAAGCTGTGCAGCAATAATCAGGATTCCAACTGTCATTTCTTGTTCCTGCAAATTATAATTGTTGAACTGCTTTCCATTTCCCAAGCATCATTCTCCATCCCTTGATCTAAACAGTCCCCCTTTGCTGTGTGAGTTCTTTGGTGTGTCTATTCTCTGAGACTTCCTTTTCAGTCATAAGCGCCACCACAGCAATTAGCATTCTTTATTCTGTGGGGTTTTGATGTTGGGAGATACTGGCATGTATTTATGCTGTAGACATTCAGTGTTTGCATGACTTTAGCTTTGAACTCTAGGCTTCCATGAGTACATTTAAAAGGATTCACATTGACCTTGTGAATATGTGTGTTTTGCTATGTGCTCGCTTTCCTATCATAGACCCAAGTATATTTTAAACATCACCATTTTGTTCTAACATGCTTAGCAGATAAACTAAACATTCGTTTATAGTGTTCACTCTTGTTTTCATCATTGTGCATATGACCATTTTCTTCTTCAACATGTATCAGAACTGCTTCATCAAATTTTAAATCTGGGAGTGTGAGTACACATTTTTTGAGATAATCACAGATTTATAAAGTCTCATAGCCAGTGAGGTCCAGAGTCTCCCCATCTCCTCCACCCACATCATCTCCACCACCACCTCGTTTTATTATTGTCGTGCATGTTCAGGCCACCTGGACAAAAGAAAAGGCTATTGGAATGAAGAGTTATATTTTCTCTTCCCAATTATGCCTGCTTTTCAAATCTAACTTCTATTTCTACTTTTTTCAGTACTCTAAAAACAGGTAACTCGGCACAAGACATTGGTTATAAATGAATTTATACCATCTGGGACTAAAAGAATTAAAATGATTTTTGAAAAGTCTTGTACCCTCTCGACCCAATCATGTAAATCTTCTAAGCCTGAAACTGCTCGAAGGTCTTTGTGGCATCTCTGGGTGTGCTGTTGAGGGATCTGGGTCCCACAATATAAGGAAACACACTGTAAGACCTTTAAGGCCCCTTAGTATTCTTGGATACTGTGACTCTATGAATTACATCTGATATATGTGCCATTTGTTGTGGACATTGTCCTTGTGAATTGTAAGAATTGTGTACCTGCCATTTGAGTGACCACCAGAGGGCAAGCTTGCATTCTTAGTAATTTAACCAGGAAATTCTCTTTTATGTTGGGTCTAGACTTAGAGCTATGTATGGTTGCAGTGCAATTAGAATCATCTAGCGAGCTTGATGAAAGTTCAGATTCCTAGGCACAAAGAGTTTTGGTTTATCAAGTCTCTAAACCAAGGGCCCAGGACTCTGTATTTTTAACACAGACCCTAAATGATTCTAATATATCTGGTCTGGACATTGGTTTTTGGAAACTAACTAGTGGTCAAGACAACTCACAAATATAAATCAATCTCATTTAAAAAATTTTATTCTTTAAAATGAAATGGATTTTTTTAAAATATAAAGTATATTTATATTTTACAAATTAATCAGAAGATACCAGAAACTATAAAGGAAGAGATAAATTTAACTATGAATAAATTTTTTAAAACTTCTTCATGGGAGTATAAAAAAGCAAAATGAGAAGGCAAAATATGCACAAAGAAGAAATATTTGCATCACATATTATTGACAACTATGATTAACCTTGATATTTACAAGGCTCTTAAAAATCATTAAGAAAGAGGCAAATATCCTTAATAGAAAAATACATAAAGGAAATTCACAAAAAAATAAGTCATAATGACAAATAAATCTGAAGAAAATGTTTACCCTCATTAATCAGCAAAGAAATTTGAGGTGAAACAGTGAGGTATCATTTTTTAAATATCATTTTCAGAGATTAACAAGTGTGATGACTGACTGGTATTAAAGAGATGGTGGGAATTGAACACCCTTCTACACTGCTGGCAGGGGTGTGAATTGATTCAACATCTCTGGAAGGTGGGATGTATCAGTAGCTTTTCAAATGTTTAAATCTTTTCAGTTATCCTAGGAGTCTGTTCGAAGAAAATCACAGAAAGAGTCAAAGATGGACGGTCAGAAAATTTCATCCAGTGCTATTTATAATAGGAAAATAATTAATACATGTCCATGAAGTAGAAAATAAATAGGTAAATTATGGCACAGCTATATGATAAATTCTTAAAACAACCGTTGAAATAATTTTTTAGAAATATTTATTCTATTTTATTCATTCATTTTAATAAGCATTTGTTGAGTTCCTACAGTGTACTAGACACTGTTCAATACCCAGAACAACTGACAATGTAACTGTAAACAAGTGACAAAGGAGAATGTTCGTGACAATAATTGAAGAGCAGTGTACAGTGTGATCCAAACCTGGGTCACACACGCCTGAGTGATTATAAGGAAATCTTTACACTGCTTAGAAGCACAGATTCCTTGATGTTTTTCTTGCCATTTTTTATAAGAATGGGACCAAGGGATCTATATTTTTAACGAGCTTTCCAACTGATTTTTATGATTAGTAGAATTTGGCAATTATTAGTCTTTATATCAACTTAATTTTTAAGTATGTAAAAATGACTGGAAGGAAAAACATCAAAATCCCAGAAGTAGCTTGTTAAAAGTGACAAGATTATAGGGAATTTTATTTTATACTTTTTAAAGTGTCTACTATTACCATACATTATTATAACATAAACAAATATTTTGGATTGCCTTCTATCTTGAAAGGAAAATCGTAACTAATATAATTCAAAAGAACACACTTTAACTTTAATATTAAAAAATAAAAGGAAAAGAATTCATAATAAAAATATAGATTTTAATATAAAAATCTTTGGACAGAGAGAAGTAGTCATACGCATGAACATACATATAGAATCCCACTGCGATTTTTTTTGAAACATCAAGCAACTCTTAGTAATATCCTAAATAAAACAAAGTAGAATCGGCTATGAATTTATATGACAGCTGCACTCCTGGGAAGTTCACTGTATACTTAAATCATGTGAAAAATGTTTAATGCATGGCAGACAGGTTCAAGCTTAGATAAGTACGGCTATCTTACTTTCATGAAAGTCTTGCCGGGCACGGGACAAATCATCTTGCAGGACTGTCTCACACATTGCAACGTTGTAAAACCTGCCCCAGGGTCTGCCCCATCACTAAATTTTAATAGTCCTGTTATCATCATGACAACCAAAGCATCTCCAAAAAAACGTCCTAAATGCCACCAAAAATCTAAAGCTACTATTAGATAATAACTTTATCATGTTTATAAGACATGTTTTTTTCACGGTTGTATCCCCAACAGAGCGCCCCAAACAAGCTACTGTTTGGATTAAGGAATGTATGAACAAATGACTAAATGGGACGTAAATTATAATCACTGCCTGAGTTGCATTGAGTTCCATGGCTGAAAGTCAAACAGATTTGCATCTAAATCTTGCTCCAGCACATATTAGCTCTTTGACCATAGGCGACTTATATAATATAACCTCAGTCTCAAATTCCGTGTCTGAAAATTGGGTACCAGGAGATTAGGCAGTTGTGAAGTTTAAATGAAATAAAACACACGAAGCTCACAGTACCCTGGGTGACACACAGTAACCACGCAATGATCGTTTCGCAATATGCCCTGGACATGTCTGTCCCATCTGTGCCCGCTCCCTGGCACGCCCAGGAAGACTAGGAGCACTCAGGAAAGAGCATCCTAACCTGTTCTTGTTAGTGTGTTTTTTCCTGACATCTAATTTAAATCTGTTTTATCACAAGATGCCTATGTTTCCCTTTGCATCGACTGTGTGGAAAGGGAAGACACTCAGTCACACATGAGGGATTTTGACGGAAATGCTCAACATTGCAAATGGAGGAGATCCACAAAAGGAGGAGGTTTCTTCATAGAGTTTCTATTTTTAACCGGAACAAATTATTTTACGTTGCTTGAAAACAGCATTCCCCCTACTAGAATAAAACAGAGTAGTAATGGCTGGAAGAAGAGGACTTTGCCTGTGGCTATGCCTGGCATGCACATTTATCTTGGACTCTTTTTAGTTATCACAGAATAATTTTATTTAATTTTCTTTTGATTGATGTAAACAACTTACACAGAAAATCTGTTTCCAGTGGCAGCTTACCAATAATCTCTAGGCTAGGATTCCTTCAGTCCTTGGTTGAGAGACAGGAAGTTTTCCATTCTTGCCTACTGCATTTTTGCATTATATGTCTCATCTTTTTCAACTTTGGCATATCTTCCCAGGGAAGATTGCAATAGAACTAAACTAGTGCTAATACACTAATAAGCCAGTTAACTTTGCTTTCCTCTCTGTGGTAGGAGATCGCAGTAATCAGTGCCCCCCTGGGTTCGCCTTAGACTCAGTTGGACCTTTTTGTGCTGGTAAGTACAGGAACAAATAAAGCATTTCTATATTTATAAAACTATCATAATGGATATCATTCAGTGGACATCTGTCGCCCTTTTACTAGGAATTTAATCCTCGCGACAGTCCTGTAATCATCCCATTTGACAGCTGAGGAAATTGAGATGTAGAGAAGTTAAATAAACTGTCTAAAATCACTCAGCATCAGGTGGCAGAGCTAGATCTGAATTTAAATTAGATCACAAAGCCCATGCTCTTTCAATTTGGCCACAGTCAACTGTGTCAGAGATAGTGACCAAGTGCAGAGATGGAGTGAACAAAGAGACAACATTGAATTCCATCTGGTGGCTTGGTTGCAATGGGTGTGAGATAGCAATAATCCAATACTAAGTCACCTGACCCTAGAGTTGCTCAGAGGATAGGGCAGGACCGCGGACCTAGGACTAATGATTAGTTGAAGGACCAGTATAATAGAGGCACAAATAAGTAAACAGCTACGTAAATGGCTTGAGGAACTCAAATTTGCATACACAGCACTTTTCTTTCACTGATAGGTGATGCGGTGTAGTCTAATCGTTAAAAGGCAGTCTTCAGACCGCCCAGATGGTTTTCAAACCGCCCATGTTCAAATCTGAGCTCTGCCAGTAACGACCAGTGTAACCTTGGGCAACTTACTTAACCCCTTTATTTCTTTAATTTTATCCTGCAAAGTGAGAATGGTAATAAAAACACCTGTGTCCTAGGAACACTGTGAAGAGTGAGTTAAGGCAGGCAGAAGGCATTTCGATCACTGTACATGGTAAATAAATTTTAGCTATCACTGTTGTTGTTTTAGAATATAATTGAAATATCTATTTACCATCAGAGATAACTTGCAGACCCCAAATTAGTTTTTATTTAGCAATTACATTTTGTGGCACTTGAGAGCATTTTCTACTATATTTGATTCAAATCACTGGCCTCTGTAAGCAACTATTTTCACTGGCTTTAAATAACTTCTAGAGAGTAGGGGTTTTACATATGATTGGGGGTTTTTTTCCTTCTTTCAGATGAGGATGAATGTGCAGCGGGGAACCCCTGCTCCCATAGCTGCCACAATGCCATGGGAACCTACTACTGCTCCTGCCCAGAAGGCCTCACCATCGCTGCGGATGGAAGAACTTGTCAAGGTATTCACATGGCGAAATCTAACAGACACATCTAAGCAATGGTTAAGGCGATCTTTGACCTAGGAAAAGTGTGAGAGACCAATCCCCTTTTTTCCTGCTACCTATGCCCTTTACAACAAACCTTGACAACAAACCTTGACAACAAACACGAAAGGTCTTCATTGGGTGGAGGAAGAAAGAGGGAACACTGCTCATGTACTCCCTTCACATGGGCACTCTCAAAGCAGGGGCGCCTGGAGGGACTCACTCAAGCTCTCAGAAAGCAGAAGTAACTTTTTAAAAGCCACCTAATTTATAAATCGTCTAATTGATCGGTCAGTCATGAAGATATCACACCATGCTGCTATGAATTGATCAGCTATTTAACCCACCTGAAATGACTCAACCAAAAAAAAAAATCCAATCCTTCTAGCTCTCTTCTATTTTTCAAGTGTCATTCATTGCTTTTCTTATCCCCATTTCACGGAAGATGCTTAGGTTGGGTTTTTTCGGCTGACCTCAGTTGAATGATTCCCTCTGTTACAGATATTGACGAGTGTGCTTTGGGTGGACACACCTGCCACACTGGTCAGGATTGTGACAATACTATTGGATCCTATCGCTGTGTGGTCCGCTGTGGAACTGGCTTTCGAAGAACCTCTGATGGGCTGAGTTGTCAAGGTATAAAACTGGAGGCCTTTTTTTAACATTCATGACACTAAGAATTAGACCCCTGTTGAATCCTTTAAAGTAGACTCTTTCTGGAAATTCCAGTGGGGAGGGACAGGATGAAAGGGAGAGAGAGAGGAGATGCGAAGCAAGTGGGACTCCAGTCTCCCAGGAAAACTTAAATCAGGACTTCATTTTACATGTTTTGTAAGGTCAGCTTCTTGATAAGGTCTTATTTAGACAGAATATTCCACAGCTATTTTAAGTATTTGTAGCACAGTGGTTTTAAATAACATTTGGCTGTTACCATTTGAGTGAGGAGATTACACAGCACGATCTAACAGAGTCTATTTCATAAAATCCCATTGCATAAGACTACCAGAATGTTTATTGAAGGAATTTTTTTAAAAGACTGCTTTTTAGAGCAGTTTTAGTTTCACAGCAAAATTGAGCAGAAAGCACAGAGAGTTCCGACATAACTCCTTCCCACACACACACACACACCGCCTGCTGCACTGTCGACCTCCCCTACCACAGCAGTACGTTTGCTACAACTAATGAACCTACACTGACATCATTACCACACAGAGTCTGCAGTTTAAATTAGAGTTCCCTCTAGATGTTGTACATCCTGTGCGTTTGCACTAATTTATAACGACATATATCTACCATTATAATATCTATAATACAGAATAGTTTCACTACCCTAAAGATCCATGGATTCATCCTTCCCTCCCTATAACCTCTAGCAACAACTAATTGTTTCACTGTCTCCATAGGTTTGCCTTTTCCAGAACGTCCTATAGTTGGAATCTTATCATATGTGGCCTTTGCAAATTGGCTTCTTTCACTTAGGAATGTGCATTTCAGGTTCCTCATGTCTTTTCATGGCTCGATAACACATTTCTTTTTAACACTGAATAATATTCCACTGTGTGAATGTACCACAGTTTATTTATTCATTCACCTAGTGAAAGACATCTGGGTTGCTTCCAAGTTTGGCAAATATAAAGAAAGCTTCTATCAGGAATTTTCTTAAAGGCAAAAAGAGTGGATCCGTAACTGAATGTCCGTCAGCGGTAGAAAGACTAAATGAAGCATCATACGTCTACACCATGAACCGTTGTGCAGCTGTGAGAAAACCCAGATGCAGGAAATTATGTATAACTTTTGTAGAAAATAGTATGTAACTGGAAAACAATAACCAAAGAAAAAGGAAATGGATCTATATATTTAGGTAAAGATACGTGTGTGTATGCAGAACACATATGTTATTATTCATACTAATAAAGTTTAATCAAGATTGTTAACATTGTTTGTCTTTGGTGGGCAAGAGGATAAAAAGGGAAAAGGAAGGCCAAGCAAAAGAGGAAGAGGAAGAAAAAACAAAACCATGCTAAGAAAAATATTTTATAAGTATATGATCACATTTGTGCATTTATATAAGTTAACACATTGTGGATTTTGAGAGATTAAATTAACCTCAAATGGAAAATAGTATAAAATAAGAGACATTGGCAGTCTCAAGGTTTGGAATGTAACATGAGGAAGTAAATAACCTAAATACGGTGATTATTCTTTTGAAGTGTTTGGAATAGAACAATAGAGAAGTGGCAGGAGCTTGAGATCACTATAGACCTAAGGGAGGGATTTTGGTTTTATGCTTTTGGGGGTTTTTTATTTGTAAAAATTTAGGGTGTACAAGTGTAATTTTGTTACATGGGTATATTGCATACTGGTGAAGTCAGGGCTTTCAGTGTATCCATCACCCGAATAACGTACATTGTGTCATTAAGTAATTTCTCATTATCCACCCCCCCACACCCTTAGTATCCATTGTCCATAATTCCACACTTTATATCCATGTGTACACATTATTTACCTCTCCCTTATAAGTGAGAACATGAGATAGTTGTCTTTCTGTAGATAAGTGTTTCTCTTGAGATAATGGCCTCCAGTCCATTCACGTTGCTGCAGAATACATAATGTCATTTTTATGGTTGTATAGTATTCCACTGTGTATATATATATATATATATATAT